AGTTAAAGATTAGAACACCGGTAATGTTGTTGAGAAATATAGACCAATCTCCCGGTTTGTGCAATGGAACTATGTTGATCGTTACACGACTTGGCAATCTTCTAATTCAAGGCAAGATGTTGACAGGGAAAAACATTGGTCAAGAAATTCTTATCCCGCGATTGTTTCTTACGCCATCGGATACAAGAATTCCTTTTAAAAACATGGCACATTCGATGATGCAATAAAACATTGGTCAAGAAATTCTTATCCCGCGATTGTTTCTTACGCCATCGCAGGTCGTGCAACGCACGGGTTTGAGTCTATCATAGTTAAAAATATGGCACATTCGATGATGCAATAAAACCAAAGATATATAATATTTGAACAAAGTATAAAAATAAAAATAATTTCAAAAAAAGGATAATATTCATTGATATAAAGAGTGCTTATAAAGCATTATAAATTCTGGAAAACTTTTTTATAAACTACATTTGTAGTTTAGTTAAATGACTCAAGTTTATCATGGCATATATTAAGATCTTTAATCCGTTGCAATTTGTGACACGTGAGATTGCCACATATAGCTACCCATGACTAAAGACGGACATTTTGAGTAGAAGGCCAACATGTGACAAAGATTGACTTTGACTTTTATTAATCGTCATTGCATTCGAAATCACAATGGAGAACTGTTTTTTTTTTAATTTTAAAAGGAATTCTTGTATCTGACGATGTAAGCAACAACCGTGGGATAACTACTTCTTGACCAATATTTTTTCCTGTCAGCACAGTTCCTTGAATAAGATGGTTACCGAGGCGAGTGACTATCAACCTTGTTCCATTTCACAATCCTGATGATTGGTCTATATTCCTTAACAACATGATAGGGGTTCCGACCTTTAAATTCAATTCATGATTTGGCACTCCCGATGCTCGTATGCCATTGAGAAATTCAGGAGAGTGCAAGTCTGTTAAAAAATCAGCATTTTAATACACACAACATCGGAGCTCAAGTACCATTTGCCTTCTCCTGCATTGTTCAATGACATCATGTATTCATTTATTTGATCAACTACGTCTAGAGTACGTGCTAGGATAGCTCGATTTTGCAGATATGTAGGATCATTTGCAATATTGTGGAAGTCTGGTTATGTAGAATTTACTATTGACGCAATCGGGTCTCTTGTTTTTCAACAACATATCATCAAGGATAATAACCTCAGCAACTCCATCGTTCTCTCCTCCAGCCAGACCATCACCAATCATTGCAATCCATTTCGCAAATTCTCTCATACTTTCAATGTTGTTATCGCAAGACATATGCTGCAATCGCATGGTTTTCGTCAAGCATAACACAGTGCAATAATTCCATAAGTACGAAGAGTTAATGGCGGTATTGACAATATCTGGCCTTCTTCCTTTGGAAATGACTGGTAGAGTTTGACGGAAGTACCCCTCCAAAACAATTGTCTTCCCTCCAAAAGGCAGGTATGCAATTATTGGATTAGACACAGTCATAATATCACGTAAGCTCCTATCAAGAGCTTCAAAACAGTACTTGTGGGTCATCGGGGCTTTGTTCCAAATTATAAGTTTGCAACGAAGCAATAACTCTGCCAATGGTGTTCCTTATTTAATGTTACAGGTGGAATTCTCATGTGGGTTAATTGGAATACCAGACCGCGAGTGTGTTGTTCTTCCCAGGTAACAATAAAGATGCTATGCCAGTTGAAGCCACGTATAAGACAATCTCTCCTCTTGAATGTAGAGAAGCAGACAGAGTTTTCCAAACAAAGGTCTTACCAGTTCCACCATAACCATAGATGAAAAAAACTTTTCCCTCATTAGAATCAACCGCTACCATTATTGTTTCATAAGTTGTACGTTGTTCGTCATTCAAACACGACTTTGTCGGCATGCTTGGGAGTATTGATTACACGCATTGGGAATGGAAAAATTGTCCCACTACGTGGCACGGTCAATTCTCCTGGGGAGATCATCCCAAGCCTACTATCATGCTCGAAGCTGTTGCTTCACATGACTTGTGGATTTGGCACGCTTTTTTTGGTGTCGCGGGCTCGAACAACGACATCAACGTTCTCGATCAACCGCCTGTTTTTTTGACAATTGGATTAATGAGACTGCACCCGACTCGTCTTTTGAGCTTAGAGGGATGCTTTACAAGTGTGGATATTATTTGGCCGATGGAATATATCCAGATTATTGCACGATTGTCAAATCCCTCTTCGAACCCATGGGTCTTAAACGCCAGACCTACAAAAAAGCTCAAGAGGCGGCGAGAAAAGATATTGAACGAGCCTTTGGGGTCTTGAATGGTAAATGGCACATTCTAGATCGACCGTCGAAATGTTATTCTCAAACGAAAATAAGGAATATCATGTACGCATGTATTACTCTTCATAATATGATCATAGAGGAAACGAGACTGCGATTTGTCAATACAACCCGGACAAGGAGGTGCCTATGTACGAAGAAATCAACGAAGAAAAGAAACGAAGAAACCACCAAGAAATTCGAAGCCGAGAGATTCACAATGTACTAACGGCGGATTTGATCGAACATATCTTTAGTCGCTCGAATAATTAGTAATTTCTTTGTAGTGTTGTTTTTTTTATGTAATATTTTTTTACTGAATGTAATTTTTTTTATGAATGTACTCCCTCCGTCCCAAAAAGATCTTCCTGTTTCATTTTTTGCGCATCCTATAAAACACTTCTATACACATCTAAAATGCCTAAAATTTACTACATTTCTCATTTATTGTAAGTAGAATTTGTTTTGAAAGTTTTTTTTGCATTTGAGGCGGGATAGAAGTGTTTTATAAGACGCGTAAAAAATGAAACAGGAAGATCTTTTTGGGACGGAGGGAGTATATTTTATGAATGTAATTTTTTTAGTGAATGTACTTTTTTTATGAATGTATTTTTTTATGAATGTAATATTTTTTTTAATGAATGTGATTTTTTTAATGCACTGGTCTCATTGCGATAAATTTAAATAATAAATTAATTTAAATTTATTAATTTAAATTTAGAAGATGTATATTTAAAAATGTAAAAAATGAAGGTTTGAAGCCCCAGCTTGAAGCCCCGGGGCTTCAAACCCATTTCCAGTGAATCTGTGGGGTAAGTTAAAACTAACGTGACAGAGAGAAATTTTGAAGCCCCGGTTTGAAGCCCCAGGGCTTCAAGAGTATTTCCAGTGCTCTTATATACCACGCCACACACCACATGTTTAAATATAAGATTGGACTCCCTTTAATACCTCTTGGACCTCCCAAAACCTAATTACATACTCTATCCCACAAAACTAAAGTTACATTGCCATGCCAATTTACGTCCAAAGCGTGAACTGTAACCTTGTACCTGTATTAAAAATATAATTAAATTTTATTTACGGTTTATTTTTATAAAATATAGGAAACATGTCATTAAAATTTTACATGCTTGTATAGAGGCTCAGAGTATTATTTGTCACACACGTTGCGCTTAAACGCAGTGCCCAAAAGAACAACCTTTCGATTGCATTCTATACAACCTAAATAACACCACTCATAGTTTTCAATCTCAACAATTTCAACTAGGGAGAAAGACCAAAGTATGACTAAACCATTGAAAATATACCAAAATAGGACTTCCATGTTTTTATTCCCGAAATAGGACTTACATTACCAAACATGGTCATATACATTACCAAAAAAGGTTAGTAATGTGTACATGTACACTGCCACATTACCACAGTGCAAAGTCACATTACCACAATGCAAAGTCCTATTTCGAAGAAAAAAACATGAAAGTCCTATTTTGGTACTTTTCTCTATGTTTTAGTCCTATTTAGGGTGATTTCTATTTCAACTAACAACCAATACTTTCCAGCATGTACAAAAAATAAATGATTTTTTCTTTTTTTGTCAATTAAGCAAAAATAAAGAGTAAATTCCATTAAAGGTTCCCGGTTAGGTCATTTTACATATTTATTCCCTACATATCAAATATTACTAATTTGGTCCCCAATTATTATATTCATTTACACGAATTGTCCTTTGTTAGCATTTCCGTTAAGAACGTGGATAAAATTGTAAATTCACACTCCTTTCTCTCCTCAATTAAGCTTCCTCCCTCCCCTCATAATCTTTTCACAAACCCGTCGCTGAGTTTGAAACTTTGAAGCCAAAACCGAAATCATCACTCTTCTCTCAATTGTTTGTCTAACTGGTGGAACCCAAATTCGAAACCAGTAACTTTCATGGAAGAGTTTTAATGTTTATTTTCTTTGCAATTTCTTGAGACTAACCGATAAAACTCATCCATAAAGCTTTTTGGTTTTGATTTTAGGTTACACCAGGAAGACTAATAATTGAGAGAGGAATGATCATTTCAGTTTTGGGTTTAGAGCTTCAAACTCAACAACGAGTTTGGGAAAGAGTACGAGAGGAGGGATGAAACTTAATTGAGGAGAGAGAAGTATGAATATGCAATTTTATCCATATTCTTAGCAAAAACGTTAACAAAGGACCATTCATGAAAAATGATATAATAATTGGGGACCAAATTAGTAATATTTGATATGTAGGGACTAAATATGTAAAACGAGGGGACCTTTTATAGAATTTACTCAAAAAAAGAAAGAAAGAAAGAGGGAAGTTTATAACTTCTTAACCTGTGTAATTGATTTCAGTTCATCAAGAGATGTTATTTCAAGTTTCCCTCTACGCATAGAATTTGTTTCATCACTTTGTGTTGCAATTGTAAAGCAGCTCATAGATATACTACCAAGCAGTAAAACTCCAAGCCTAAAGGGAACTAAAATAGTGAATTTATGTGTTAACTGTAGACAACAACTAAAACGAGAAAGAAAAAAACATACTTTTCTTTTAAACTTCGTATCTCATTCATGTCATTGTCCATGACTACCTTGCTCACATTATACGCACTTCACACAAAGACTTTTCCTAAAAGCAAATCACACTTTTATTTTCACAACACAATCAAAATTGTAACAATTTAACAAATTCATTCAACTCTAAAAAAGAACACTAACCCTAATATTTTCTTGGGAATACCATTTGCAATATCAAAATGATAGGTTCTGAACCATGCCGTAGAACTTCATTCACTCTTTCAATATGTTTTCCCCACAGAGTACATCCAACTTGCTTCTCACTATATGGAATTTTTTGAAATAAAAAGTATGTATTCAGAATAAAATAGTAAAGAACTCAACACGTAGAAAAAAAAATCATACACATACTTTGTATCTTCAAGAGTAAGTTCCATGAACTTGGTTGGAACTCCTTGAACATCCTTTATTTCTTCCTTATTTTTACAAACAACTCTTCCGATAACATCTACAAAAATTAAAGTTGAGATGTAAAAATGAAAGTTGAGACCAAAATGTATTTTTTAGTAAGCATTTCATTTTTTATTTCAACACTATTACAAAAATTGGTTTTCTACACAACAAATTATACACATACTTTTAACGTTAAAAAACAATTTAGAAGAGGGAGAAAGATTATGATGTACTTAAAATTCTCGAAAAAAGGCTAGAGGATGCATTTCTTAGGACATCCTAAAAAAGAATAAAGAGTCTTTACCAAAAATCATGTCATTCATTTCTTTGGGTTTAATTGGCAGCTTTATCGTCACATTTGTTTTGGAAAGATTTTTTTTGTTAAAATGACCCGTTTGTTCTCCATGTACTTTTTTTTCCTGCATCATTTTCTTTATTTTCTCACCATCCAAAATAATATACGAAGTATATATATATTTTCTTTATTATCAATTTTTCTTCATTTTTTACTCTCTCTAGCATTTATACGAACATTTAAAGTTAAACAAAAGGTAGGCTGAAGTGATTACCTATTAGAAACTTGTCATCAAGCCATGATATGATTGATGTTGTAGATAATCAAAAGTTGTAAAATTGAACTTGTAAACTGGAAAACTTGAGAGATTATATATGCTTATTATTATTTTATTATTTTTAATATTATTAAAAAAGAAAACGCAAATGAAATAAGACATGCGCATGGAATAACCTCTTTTTCATGAAATACGACATTCATTGTCTTTCCATGCTTCTCTGTTGCGGGCACATAATACACACGAATTGCCCTCAACCGTTTGTGTTTAACATCTGTTATAGCAGAAAACATCTCTACCACCTTCGTAATGTAATAGCAAAAATAAGGATCAATGCGCTCACAATATGTATGAAATTGTTATGTGAGAATTCCTTTGGATACACTACACATACGGATGAAAATATGCCTCGTCAACAATGAAAAGATGATGCTTTTTTAAAATCTTTTTTTGCAACCCAAATAAAAATACTAAATGATATAACAACCTTTGAAATATGTACAACTAAAAATAAATGATATTAAAATCGTACTCCCTCCGTTTCTTAAAACTCTTCCTCTTTCATTTTTTTTGTTTTCTTTAAAACACTTTCTTTTTCTATTAAAAAACCACTTTTACCTCTACTTTTTCATACACTACCTATCACATCATACTTTTTCACTAATAACTAAACTATCACATTTTACTTTTACCCATCACATCAGGGGCAAAATTGGAAAGTTAACTAAAATTACACTTTTCTTATTTTGCCCCAAAGTCAAAACAAGAACCGTTTTAAGAAAGGGAGGGAGTATTAGGTTAACTATATGAGAAAGAAGGTTGTATTAAAACCAATTTTGAGGAGGCATCAAAATAACGGTCTACAAATATTTGGGTTTTTACTTAACAATTATCCTTAGTGAATAAAAAATGCCGTGTTTAAAAAAACGACTGCCTAATTCATTCGAATTACAAAAAACGAAAGCAGATTAAATTTTTGGAGAAAACTAGTACGTAACCTGTGTTTTGTTCTCCTGCCTGACTTGCTTTAATTCCAAGCTTCAGTGCTAGTGGGAAAAGCATAATATTTTTAGGGATATCTCACTAACATGCACCAAGAAGTAGATAGAGGGAATGAATTTATATTGGAAATACTCAAAGAAAATTCTAGATTTTGAATATTTTAAAACATTAAATACGTACACTATTTTAGAGCACCGGCAGTGGCGAGGCAATTGCTTGCGACGCCCTGCCACATCATCCCATTATTGTATTTGCCTCGAGTGGCTGAGAGGTTTTTCCATGCTTGGCAAGGCAGCTGTAAGTTCATCGGGGCGTAGCGGAAATCACCAATTTAGAGCTATGCAAACAAATCAACCAACTATGCTACAGAGAAGATACTGCAGCACTGTCATAGTAACAGATGACTGACAATGTGCTCTAACACTTTTCTGTCACAAGCATACACAGAAGCAGATGATGCAGAGGGCGTTACAGCGCTTACTAGGCAGAATGCTGTAACAATAAAATGCGTAAAAATAACACCAGATATGTTTACACAGTTCAGAGCAACTCTCCTAGTTTGCGGGGCCCACGTCCGTGTAATAGCCCTCCACTAAATCACTAGATGCAAGTTACACCATGATGAGATACACTTCTCCGAATTGTTATGACAAAACTTCTAATCTATGATTTCTAACCCGAACTCTGTTCAGATCCGCTTCGGCTATCACATCTCCACCGAGATCACGAGGACAAACGTGTTGGCAGCCCTCTCTTAAGCTCTTGTCTACCTCCTGGTTGTCACGATCTGTTTTTCATTGTAGGACTCCTTCATGTAGATTGTATCTTTTTTCACGCAAGGGAAGCTCCGGGACGCGACGGGAATGCTCTACATCAGCGTATATTCTTTGTTTTCCCTCTCAATCGCTCCAAGTAATTCCCAGGGACCTGCTGCGTTTTTATAGGCTTCTTCTTGACACAATCCTAGTAGGAATAGGTTAGTATAAGTTGGCTTGAACTCAACTTTCTTAATCTTGATCCACAAGTAGCCTAAAGAGTTGGGATTCCTTAACAAGTACAGCTGGAGTTATTATCATGTAGTCACAATCCCAATAGGTCTCTAATTCAGATTGCAGCTTAAAATCCCGTGCTCAGACCTCTGATCCCAAACAGTGTGTTGCAGGAATGTGTTGTAGTAGACCTATCAAAATTTGACCCGACCCGTTATTGATCCGAAACCCGACCCGAAACTAGCGGGTTTTGAACATTGATTTTGCGACCCAAACCCGAAGACCCGTTAAATTTTCGGGTTAGAACGGGTCGAGTCGAGTTTGACCAGGCGGGTTATGCACTTAATTGCTTATTTTTATTAGTTATTTAGTTTTATATATTCATTTAAAATATGATATACCCATTAGGCTACTCAAAACTCAAAAGACGTAAAACCTAATCTAAATCCAGTAACATTCCGGTGTCTCTCTCTTCTCTCTCTCTCTTTATATATATATATATATATATATATATATATATATATATATATATATATATATATATATATATATATATATATATATATATATATATATATATATATATATATATATAATGCAATTTTTTGGTATGCTGCAAAAAGGTGATTTTTTTGGGTATATTGCAATTCTCTTTTGGTATGTTGCAAATAGAATTGCAAACTTTTATGATTTCGTTCTTTGTTTTGAATAATGCTCGGATCACATGATCTTTAAATAGCAAAAACTTTAATTTTTAAATACGCCTCTTAACCCATTGGGTCAACCCGAACCCGATAACACTGGGTCATGAACAAGCACTCTTAGACCCGAACCCGAAGTGACCCGAACCCGAAATAACCCGAACCTGACTTTACCGAACCCAAACCCGACCTGACCGACCGTTTTGCCATGTCTATGTTGTAGCATCTTCTGTGTCAACCTCGAAAACTGCAGCAACTCTAGAAGTCGAAATAAAATAAATCTCTCCTAACAAATAGAGGTTTCTACCTAGTAAACACCTAACAAATATGAGATTCTATTTTGCCAAAAATTTAGTCAACACCATGGAACTAACAGCAGCTGCAAGGCATCTCTTTCTTTTTTTAATTTGTTGTTTTTTGTAAAGATTTTTTTTAAAAAAAGAGTACATCTAATTTTATGAAAAAAAGATAAGTAAAATAATTTTTGATAATCCTATATATCCTTTACTATAATAAAGGAGACTCCGATTTCCAGCAATTCGACATTTGGCATGTCTATTTGGCAAAACTTTAACATGTCAACGCCACGTAATAACTGAGTAAAATTTAAAGAATATTATATACAGAGTAAGAAATTGATGCCGATTAAATTTATGGCCTTTAAGATATTAATTGGTAAAAAGGTTTTAATAAATTTCATATACGTGTTTATACCACGAAGGTTAAAAGGAAAAAAATTTATATATGATTCCCAATGTAATGTTTATTACATAGCACATGGCTTATTTTTATTAAAAAGAAAACAAATGATAAAAAGTATTCATGCACACCTCAAATTTTAACATCTTTGAGGTTAATATTATTTTTGAAATACCTCTACACTATTGAAAAACCTACTAGCAACTTGAATTCACCAAAAAATAAACGACCATAATATTGATGTAAAAAATACTCTAATGTTTATTTGAAACCAAAAAATATATCATACCAAACACTATTTTCTTTAAAAATAAAATTGAATAATATAAATTTGATATTTCAAAATCTTTTTGAAAATAGAAATGTATTCTGTGTATATTAAAATGCAACAAAAATATGAATGAAAAATAATGCATTTTTTTAGTATAACACATACCTTATTTATATTAAAAAAGAAAAAAACCGAATAAGAATTTGAATTTTCCAATAATTAAAAAAAATAACTTAATAAATTAATGAAAAAAATTTAAAACAAACACGTTCTTTAAATTTATTTAAAAAAATAAATGATACTCAAATTCTTTTCCTTAACAAAAAGAAAATGGTAAAATTTAAAATTTATTTTTAATTTCTTTTAAATAATAATAAGAACAATGAACATATCTTTTGTATACCCTCAAGTCTTTCAGAAAATTTGGTATTATTTTTTTTTGTGTTGTACACAATCAATCCCTCAAATATTATTTATTCCACTTTGGTTTTTTTCTATGATATTAAATATCATGCGAGAAGTATATTTTCTTTATTCTTGAAAAAATATTGCATTAAATTTTATTTAAAATCGACAAAAAAAATTTGTTCGACACCGTGCGTGGCACGAGTTCAAATACTATACTAGTATATATGTAAAATTGGGTTTATCTCTTGGATGGACACAGTGCGTGGCACGAGTTGACATGTGGCATGCCACATGTGCATCCACATGTGCATTGAGATGGATGAATTTCATTGGTCCATTTAATTTTTTATAAAGATCTTTTAACACATTTTATTTTATTACATTAAATAAATATTATATTTTAGTACTAAAAAACATTATTGAATTATACTTTGTATAAAAAAATGTCATTTTTAACAATTTTTTATACGGAGTATATTTTACAATGATGAAATATATTTTTATAAAATTGTTAAATATATTTATAAAATATATTTTCATCATTGTAAAATATACTCTGTAGTATATTAAAAAAATGACATTTTTTTATACAAAGTATAATTAAATAATGTTTTTAGTACTAAAATATAATATTTATTAAAATGTCATTTTTAACAATTTTATAAACATACCAATACACATTCTACCAGTTTAAAACATATTTTGTTTACATTATCAAATTATATCTATTAATATTTTTTTTAACTTTATCGATGTTTTGAAAAAATAAGTTTCATATGATTTTTTTAAAAAATAAATTATTTCAAAACAAGTTTAATAAATTATTTCAAAACAAGTTTAAAAAATAAGTTTCATATGATTTTTTAAAAAATAAACTTAAAAAATAAGTTTAATATGATTTTTTTAAAAAAGTACTTATAGAATCTTTAGTGCATGTACATTTATATTTAAAGTATAATATTTGAAAAAAGATATATCTTAGAGTTAAAAAACATTCATCTAACACATATTATATCACTATTCGAAAACTAAAATAAATAAAATTATATTTTTAGAATGTCAAAAATTTAGAATATATACGAGCCCGTGCGAAGCACGAGATTAACACTAGTATATATGTAAAATAGAGTTACTTCGTTGTGGTGAAGACACGTGTCATGCCATACGTGCATATTACTTACATGTGTCATGCCACGTGTAAATCACAAGACACATGTCACTCCACATATGCATATTCAATTTTGTCTTAAATCATTATATTTATTATATTTTATAAATCCTTCACTTTCCAACAATAAAAACCCTTATTTTTATTCTTTTTTAATAAGATTTTCACTTTCTAACTATTTAAGAAATGTTTTTTGTTGTTTTAACATATTTTTTTTTAAATATACGCGACTATTTTATAATACAAAAAAATTATAAAATTTATTAATTAAAAAAACAATGTATCTTAGAATTTTATTTAGATATCAAATTTTGGAATATATGTGAGCCCGTGCGAAGCACGGGGTTGAAACTAGTTAAAATATGTTTAAAAAGTGTAAAAACTTACAAAAGCAATGACTTGCCATTGGAAGGAATGCAACTCCACTCACTTGCCACACGTTGACTGGACTGATTTTGATTGATTAAAATACTCCACGTCACCGTGTGGTGTTCCATATTTTACTTGCCATTGCCTATGCTCTTAGTAAGAATGGTATTCCAATAGTTTTCTTTAGAAGATCAAATTGCATTCTTCAATAAAATGAAGTTAATTTAAAATGATGTGTGAAACTATAAACCACTGTATTATTGCAATCAAATGAACTTATGTGAGAATTCCTTGGGGTACAATACACACGGATGAAAAGTCTTTAGATGACCAAAGGTTCTCATTCAATAATGCCATTACATTATTGCAATTAGAAGTGCAATAAATGAACTCGTTAGACCCAAGGAATAACATTAGCCTTGCATTTAACACTGATCGGAGATGGACGGCCCAGATTATGCCCATTCATGGGCGGGAAAAAGAGTTTTTTTTTTTCACACGGAATTTTGTTTTTTAATTCCAAAATCTTTTGCTTTTGTATAGGAGTATAGATAATTTGTTATAATATAAAAAGGAAAATAACTAATAACGAAAAATAATTAATAAAAAAATAAAAAAAATAAAATAATAATAATGAAATAATTTTTTAATATTTTCTTTTATTATTTTATAAATGCTAGAATTTAATTTGAATAAAAATAGGTAATTATTTTTAAAAATTATAATCATAGCTGTGGTGTGAGATACTACAGGTGTGAAGTAAAACAGATAGCCTAACATTCTTTCAATTTATATTGTTGATGTCTTTATCGATAAAGATCATATCAAATCATATTTTATCCAATCTTTTAATAATACTCCGTATTATAGTGAAAAAAATATTATATAATCGAGAAAAAAATTGTTTCACCTAATGCGTGTCAGGGATTAAAATTTGTTTGGTGAATTGGTGGATTGCCCGAGCCCGAGCCCGAGCCTGACCTGTTCATCCAATCGTAATAAAGAGTTATCAAAATAAAATGGGCACTGGGTATGTAATGGGGATCGGCCCGACCCGCTTATCCAACCCAAAAAATGCTAGAGTTACAAACATTTCGGTCACAAAATACACAAACTTACCATTTGTGTATTCAAATGATAAGTTTGTGTATTTTGTGAAGGAACTATGTGTGATATAGCATTTCTCTATCCAACCATAGTTCAATCAAGGGAAAATTCCAAATATGGTACTAAAACAATGCTAATTTCCAAAAGTAGGACCAGTACTACCGGAAACGTTTTTTTAATGACTAGAATGACTAAAATAACCCTGGCCGCTGGATTTGGAGAAACGCGCAAGCCGCAATTTCCGAAAATCGAGAGACATTTACGAGCGAGAAGAAATCTAGGGAAACGAGAAGATAATCGATCAGGGCATTAAACAATCCAGGCTCACCTTCTCTCGATGCAAATCTAAAGGAGCGAAAATAGAGAGAGAGCGCGAATCTAGGAAAGCGATACCAATGGCTTCCATGAAGGTAACAATGGCGTCTAAGAAAGGTGATAGCGAAGACAGCGATTTTGTGACGAGGGAATCCGATGATATGCTTCTGACAATGCCTAACGGACTCGTAAGCTCTGAATTTTACAATTTCAAATTGATGAACATGAATTGAACTTTATGAAATTGAAGTTTATGAAATTGATTGAAGGCATGCATTCTGTTATTGTTGATTGCATTCAATAGTTATGAGTTTTCGATTGAGCATGTCTACAATGTCGCCTATTAATGTCTACTTGGTCTAATTACTGTCTACTCAGTTTTATTAATGTCTAATTATTACAGTTTTTTCATTGAGATATAAGTTTTGAAGGCTTAAGAAAATCATAAATCCAGCAGATGAATTTGTGCTTTGAACAATTCAATTGTGGTTGTGTGTAATAAGAAAAGTCTGATAATGTCTATCTGGATTATTACAAATTATGAGACTATGTTCCGTTGGCGTATTACTGTCTACTCGTCTATTAATAAGAATAATGTCTAATAATGTCTACCTAAATTATTACAAATTATGAGAATATGTGTTCTGTTAGCGTATTACTGTCTACTAATGTCTATTAATAAGAATAATGTCTGATAATGTCTACCTGGATTATTACAAAATATGAGACTACGTGTTCTGTTGGCGTATTAATGCCTGTTAGGCATTTGAATGAATATAATAATATTTGTGGATGATGAGACAATGTCTTTGGTTAGTGAATGAATGTCATGTTAAGTCTTAAAATGAATATAATGACATTTTTGATTGGGCCATAAAATTTTGATTGCTTATGAGAAGCATAAAGTCAAGCGGATGTTACTGTGCATTGAATTTGGTGTATTAATGTCCTCTAAGGCATTTGTATGAAAACGTAAAATACTTTCTAATGCAATTTGTGTTGTGTTTTGGAAACGAAGTGAACAGAATTTTGTTTAATGTGATAGGTCTATAAACGCCTATGTAAGCCGAACCTACTGGATACAAAACCTGAAGCTAAAATAAATTCATACTGCAATGTTGGTAATGGGGTTAAGAAGTTGAAAGAAGTGCTTTCAAAAGACGAACTAAGTGAATTTCGAAAGACTGCCTTTGGATATTGGTTAGACATTGGAGAATTGGTGTTAATGGCCAACTTCTGATTCTTCTCACACTCAACCATGTGGAGCCGATGGACAGAGTGCACGCCTCTGAAGAAATTTCATTTTCCATTTGTGACAGACTGATTAAATTCACAAAGAAAGACTTCCAGGAGGTGAGTGGTTTTAGGTTTGGGAGCAACAGTGAAAAAATGGAGAATTATACAGAACCAAGTGACATAAGTAAAAGATACTTCAATGGTCAAATGAATATGACAAGAGAAGATGTGAAGATTGAATTTGAGAGAGTCAAGAGAAATAAAAATAGAGAAGCTTTAGATGCAGTGAAGTTGGGGCTCCTATACATGTTAGGGACCTGTATAATTGGTAACCAGCCAAGCATTAAACTCCCTGGACTGTATCTCCACTTGGTCGATGATTTATCCAAGTTTAATAGGTATCCATGGGGAGAAGATGTGTGGAAAGATCTGGTAGAGAATGTTCGGAAATGCTGTTGTATTATGAATACAAGCAAGAAACCAAGGTTCAATTTCCCTGGATTCCATTTCGCTTTACAGATATGGGTGTATGAAACATTTCCAGCACTGATGCAAGAGAAGGAATGTATACTGGATGAAGGAAAGAAGACATCATGGCCAAGGGCATTGAGATGGTCAGCGGACGGGAGGACCACCAAAGAGTTGTTGGAGAAGAAAATATTCAAAAATGAAAAGGTAAAACTTAAAAAAAAAAGATGTGTGGGGTACTGTTTTGTATATAATATTGTATTTTTTTATCAAAATTAAATTTACATTGAATCATAATATGCCATTGTTTTGATTTGCAGTTTGAGTGGACAGAGATGGTCAAATCTGATGAAGAAAAGCTCATTCTCAAAAAAGCTAGGAACTGCCTATCTCTTCGGATACTAAACATGACCATGCCAGAAACAGCTGTTGTGAGTGAACATGGGGATGCTTTACATGCTACAGCAAACGCCAGAAAGAGGAAAAGTCCCGAGCAATGCATCTAAAAAGGGAAAAGCCCCGAGAAGACAAAAATGAATCCTAAAAAGACATGAAAAACACACAGTCTTCAAATCATTTTGGAGAAGAATGGTGCCAGAGATGAGAAATGGAAGAATGAAACATTGAACAAAATAAAATCTTTGGAGAAAATGGTGAAGAGTATAGTAGCTAACATGGCAGAGAACAATAGAAAAGTGTTAAGTGAGATACAAGAGTTCAGAAAGGAAAACCAGAAACAATGGGGATTGGTTGAGGAATGCCTGAAAAATGCTGGCATTTTGGGGAAAACACAGAGTAAGGAATCCAGGAAGAAAGACACTCAGTTTCCAAGTTTTGATTTAGGCATTGATCTACATTGTACACCACAGACTGCTCATAAAAAGGAAGGTCAAAATTTGGAACAAGATAAGACTGGAGACTGTGTAAAGGAGAAGGGAGAAGACATGGACATTGATTGGATGAATGGGCTGTTGACTGAGGCAAACACTGATCACAATTGCCAGGTTTGACACATAAATTTTTAGCAATTAACATCCTGACAATGACCATATTTAATTGTTCATCTTGATGACACAGGAAACTATGCACGTGGTTGAAGCTGATTTGGGAACATCATAAAATCAGTGACCAGAAAGGCATTGACAATAAAGTCATTGACCAGCAGATACGTACTAAAACATATAATGCAAAGCTACATGATTATGTTTAATAAAATGGTTGCAATTGGAGTTGAAATTACATACTAAGAGATAAATCATGCTATAGGTGATGGAAGATGGTTTGGAGGAAGGCCAGAAAATGGAGAGTGTCATTGACAATGTGGAAACAGCATCACAAGCTGCTCGGGTATATTTAGTCTAGTTGATATGGAACATTTTTCAGTTGGTAGAGTGTCATTTTGTTTATTTCCAATGATTAATTGTTGCATTATATTTGATTTGTACAGGCAGCAGAGGATTTGGATCCAGCCATTTGGGACATTAGTCCTTACTCTGAACAACCAAAGGTCGCAGAGGGTATCATCAGTTATTTGTTTCCCACTGAACAACCACATCTCCTAAATGATGTTCCCACTGAACAACCACAAGTCCTCACTGATATTCCCACTAAACCACCACAAAAAATCAATGATATTCCCAATGAACCACCACAAATGCCCAATGATGATCCGAGTGATGGTATAGATGTTGAACCACAGCTCAATGTTGGTCAACTTGAGGACATTCAGGATGAACAAGTAGAAGGCCCTGATGCTGAAGAACAACACACTAAGGATATTGCCATTGACCAACCAGAAGACACTACAAGGCAGAAGAGGGTTGTGAAATGCCCAGATAAGTTTACTCATTCTGACAAAAAATTAAAGACAAGAAAGGCAAAGAGCAGACAAGGACCACAGACATCTAAACAGAAAGCCACAGATGGTGGTGATGACAATTCGCAACTCAACAATGTGGAGGCCGAAGCTGGCATGGCAGAAAGTCATCCCGAAGGGCTGAAATTAGCATTAACTGCTGAGAATGTGGAGTTGTTTTTAGCACAAGGTCTCCTAAGCAAGAAGAAAAAAGCAAATGGCACAAAGTACACAAGCCGGGCAAATGCTTTAAACCCAGAAGAATTTCGGCCACTGTGGGGGCATGACGAAACAATGACAAAAACATGGTACTATGGATTTTTCTACCCTCATGAATGGATGGATGGTGTGGTAAGTATGAACATACACATTTTATTAAACGATTATAAAAATATGGTTATTGATTTTTAAATATACTAATGACTTACAATACTTTATCTACTACAACATGTAACTGTAGCCTTGAAATACCTGGTCATGAAAGCACAATAATATGGATTGACCCAGCCATTTGCAGTAACAGACAGCCTATTTGTCAGTCTATTGAAGAAAGAATATGACAACTACTTGGGAAAAAGGAAAACCATTGCTGAAGCAGCATTGAACACTTCAATACTAAAACCAATCGTAGGGGCTGTGCCAGAATTGGGAGGACGCTGGGTAGAATGCGATTATATTTACATGCCAATCAACACTGGAAACCATTGGATACTGGCTGTGCTTGACATATCAAAGAAATGCATCGGGCTGTATGATTCTAACAGCAAGGGGAAGACCAGTCGCCACACAAAACCATACCTTCCATGTCTACAGATCTTACTGCCAAAGGTGATGGACAAACTGGAAGTGTACAAGGAGCGGAAAATGCCTGAGATGGGAGATGATGTGCTAGGCATTGTGAACGTAAATGATTGCCCACAACAACAGGACGCGTAAGTTCGTAGATGTTATAAATGTCCTTTCTAGGTACCTAATAACATGTAATATACTTAAAGCACCATAATGTCCAATGTACGTAATAATATGCAGGGTGAGCTGTGGCATATTCGTTGTAAAGATGGCTGAGCATCTAATCATGGGGATGGAAGTGGATGAAATGGATGTTGCAGGCATTGAGAGTTTCAGGAAAAAATTTGCAACAAAAGTGCTATTATATGCAAACAGGAGGGCTGACCAGGAGGGCCGAGCATTGGCATGGGAAATGTAACCAAGTTTAAAAAACTTTTAGGTTTAAGTATGCTGTTGTAGTAGTTGCACTATGGGTTTTAAGTGCAGTATCAGTACTTTTCCTATTATTAGTAATATGGGTTGTAAGTGCACTATCAATACTTTTTAGACAGAATCTTGTAATATGGTTGGTGATTGAAGTAATCACATTACTTTTTTGCATAAAATTGGGGCACAGTATTTGATGAAACTTTTTTTAAAAAGGGGAGTAAACAAGTAACCTTTAAACACGTGAGTAAACTTTTATCAATGACAGAATCACTTCTTCCAACAAATAACTTTTATTAAGAAATGACACACCCAAACCATTCAATGTCAAGAGCATCTGGCGTTGTAATGCAAACACAATCTTTTAAACACATTAAATCTCTTTAAATCTCTCTTTGGCTGATACTAATGAAATACTTTTATCAAAGAATGGCAATCCCTACAGACCCTCATGTTCTTGAGGACAACACTAAAACCCGGGCAAGAAAGCAAAGGCAGGAGAAGGAGGGGGAGGGGGGCATCATTGAAAATACTTTAGGACTTTGGTTATATTTCTATATTTGCTGTTATCTAACAGAATTTACAGGAAAACAGAATGACCCATTCCACAAACACATGAATATCATGGCATTCAACACAAATGAAAAGTAAAAACAACCAAGCTAAAGAAAAGAGTGAAATGACATGATATTAGGATCAATTTCAAAAAGAAAATACAAAAGGACTTGAAATGTTCATGAATTAGAAAGAAACATAAGCTCCATAACAAAAAAAAGGTACTCTTGCATAAAGACTTATGTGTGACGGATAGAAAGGGGGTTGGTCAGGTTTTTTTATTATGTCCAGGCATTGTACACCAGGAGCAACATTTCCTGCTCGTAGTCTCGCCCCTAGATGGAATTCACCGCTTCTTGGGTCTTCCAGGTGGGCGTTTAGAACATGAGGGAGGTCTACACAAAATACCCGACATAACCTCTGGAACAACCCAACTGTCTCTACTAGCCAATGGGTGTATAATGCCTTCATATGCTGCAATCCACTCAGAAGTAGTGTAGTATTTTGATATAAATTCATAGCATGAAACACTTGGGCGTGTACGAATAGCTGCAACAGCATGAACACAAACGAAGTGATCGGTCTGGAACTCACAACAAGTACAAGTCCTGGACCGAAGATTAACTACAAAAGCCCTTCCATTGGTGTCCAAAACCTGGAACTCATACTCACATGATGGGCGAACCTGAAAAAAATATTCTTGATAGTCAAAGTATGAAAAACATATAGTCATAAGAAAATGCATTGTGGCAGTAGAATAAAATAAATGAAAAAGAAACAAGAATGTGAAAATAATGCCTTGTGAGACATACACTCATGACTGCAGACGAAGCATGTAGCTCATTCAACTTTGCTTCATAATGCCTTGTCAGAATAGATGACGTAGAATTAGCCAAGGTTCTCCATTCATGGAACCATTTTTGCATCCTCACAATTATGAAATCAATAAGTTGTGCAATGGGATACTCGCGGGCTGAAGCATCAACACTGTTTATTGACTCAGCGTTGTTTGATGTCATGATTGAGTATCGATTGTTTGCTGATTCTGCCTGAGACCACTTCGAAAATCCAATGCGTGCTAGATATGGCTGAATGGCTGGATCCTCCTCATCTAACAATTTCATATACCAATTCCGTTCACGAACAGTTGCAGCCTTTGCAGCACGAATAAACTTCCATGTAACAGCTTTTGCAGAGCCACGGAATGACGTCTTAATGTTACCAAGAATGTGATATATACAATGTCCATGCATAACGTTTGGGAAAACAGATTGCACAGCACTTATAATGCCATCATGGCGGTCAGACACAATATACTTCACTTCTTGAGCTACAAGGACCTCTTTAACCTTTTTTAAAAACCACTTCCAATTCGCAGTGTCTTCAGCATCATAAATGGCAAAGGCCAGTGGGAATATTTGTTTGTTCCCATCCTGTGCAACAGCGGTTAGAAGC